GTAAACACTTGGGAGGAGGAAAAAAAAAACCCAACTATTTCAGCTAATGGGCACTGCTGCCACAAGGTATAAATTGGTTGTGAGTAAAATTAGGCTGGAGAGGAGAAGGCAAATGGGTGTGAGGCTCCAGCTGCTGGTGCTGCCCTTTCAGCCAGGGCTTTGTGCAAATGGGACTGGACCCCACAGCTCAGCCTGGGGATGTGTCCCTGCGGTGGCACGCTGTGGGCTGGCCTGGCACCCCGCAGGAGTGGTCTGGGGGCTCGAGGGCTCCTTGTCTTAGCAGGTGGCTTAAGAGCCAGTCCTGTGTCCCGTCCCGTCCCCCCCCATTCCGTGATGCTCATCCTTTGGAAATAACCACCCTCCAGAGGGGTAGGAGTCTGCATCCCTGTCCTAGGCTTTCATCCGGGGAGTTGGGAAGTGATCTGTACTTATCGCCGCTGCTAATGAGGGGGTGTTCAGGTGTTGAGCAGTTATCCTGGCTGTTTGCATGGCAGAGGTCTGAGCTGCCTCCCGTTAAAGCCACCTCCACTTTCTCCCTTCCAAGAAGCAAAAAAGAAAAAAAAATGCCCTCACCACATCCACGCGGTGGCAAAGAAGAACCTGATTCATCCTTAGATAATTTGCGTACATTCCTTTTCTCTTCTTTCCTGAGCAGTCTTTGCATGTATATGAAGAAAGCTCTTTGAGCTGCACTGCAGTCAAACCTGATCTGCTTTTAGAAGACAGGTCCTTAAATTACCCTCTCCCTCTCTGCAGGCAGGGAATTGCTAGATATTCTGATGCAAACCCATGGTGGCCATGGTGGTGTGTGCATGTTTGGCTGTGGTGGGAGGGCAGGGAGTCCTGGGCGAGTGACCAGCAGGGCTGGTTGGGGATTTGATCCCTGAGAGTTTGGGGCTTGGAAACCTGAGTTTGGGGGCAAGCCTCGCTTGGTGGCACTAGGGACGATGCCGTGGTGGTCTGCATGGCTTGAGCAGGCAATTGCACCAGGGTGATACCCTGGCACCAGCCTGGCCCCATCCTCGTGCCCAGGCAAGGACGCAGAGCAGATCTGGATGTCACGGCCAGCTTCATCCAAGAGTCCGAGTCACCAGGCAGGTCCGGGTGACAAGGCAGGGGCCAAGGTCAAGCTGAGATGTCAGCCGGTGGAGTTCCCCTGCTCCTGGGGCTGCTGGCTGGCATTGGAGGGGCGAGCACCCACCTTACTCCTGCAAAAAACTGGAGAAAGCAGCAATTTGGGCTCGTGGCTCCAGCCTGCCTGTCCTCTGCTGCAGACCTACAGAAAAACCTTTCTTGCAGCTTTTCTGGTTCAGCCATGCGGGGCTGAGCTTCAGCAGCAGGGACGGCACTGTCCTGGAATGGGGACGTGCCCCTGCAGTTGCCAGCCGCGGGGTGCTGTGTGCCCCGGGCTGCTCCTCGCCCTTTAAGGCCCGGCAGCAGCTGATGGCCACGTGTGCACTGCCTTGGCACGCTCTCCGTGCCCTCTGCGTGGCAGGCACAGGAAGACCGGCGTGCCGGCTCGGGCAACTGTCCCCTGTGCGGTGGCTGCCCCCTGCGCCGGCGCTGCTGGCGGCCGGCATAGGATGAGCCACTGCGTGGGGTGCATGCCACCATGCAGGCAGCAGGTGAGGGGCTGCCCGCCGCCATACCCCGCCATGGCCTCAGGGACGCCCCGGGATGCGGGATGGGCTCTTCTCCTCCCCTGGCTAAGGGCTCTTCTCTCTGCTCTCCTAACAGGTTTCAAGTGCCCCATTTGCTCCAAATCTGTGGCTTCTGACGAGATGGAAATGCACTTTATCATGTGTCTGAGCAAACCTCGCCTCTCCTACAACGGTAAGGGCCAGCGGCCAGGCTGTGCGGGGGACATGGTGTCCTGCCGGCTTGGGATGGCTCCGGGCAGGCTGGAGAGACGCTTGCCGCAGGCTGCGCGGACAGGCGGCTTGGCTGGACTTGCCAAGAGGGCAGTGCTCCAGCAGACCAGTGCAGCTCACGGTCCCTGCTCCGCTCCGCTCCCCCAGCATGGCTCAACTCCGCTGCTTTTGCCTTGGGGACCCTGTGTAACACAGCCCCCTCCCCATGGTGCTCACCACGGTGTGCCATGTTGGAGGGAGCTGTCCTGGCCCGGCATCCTCCCTGGCTAGGGCAGGGGATGTGTGTCCTCCTGGGCTGCTCCTCTGAAGGGTCACTGCCTTCCTCCTCACTGGCAATGAGGCTTCCTGGGCTGAGTGCTGCTCTTCAAGGTCCTTGCATCTCCCACCCTCTCTCCTGACTATTTGTGGGGGAGTGATGCCCACCCCCTACTCGGAGGTGCTTTTTTGGAAGCCAGGGGTAGGGGATGTGTTCGCTGCAGCTGCCCCAGCCCCATCTCCCCCCCTCCTTGTCTTGGGGGTCAGGTCCCCCGGGGGTGTCCCTGCTCCCCCTCATCCTGGAGGTCAGGACCCCAAGGGTCAGGGACTCAGGGTCCCCATCAGTCCCTGTGGATGATGTGACCTGGGGTGTCCCTGCTCCCCAATGCCCCTGGGCTGGGGGCTGTCCTGGAGGGCCCTGAGCAGCCTCAAGATCCCTGGCCATTGGCTACCCCGGCTGGGACATGGGCTCGTTGGTGGACCTGTCCTGAGGATTGGGGTCTGCTCCCTGGTCCCTGGCACCCATTGGTGCCTGGGATTGTCACATTCTCTCTGGGTGTGCCTCAGCTGGGGGTTTGGAGTTTGCCTCCCATGGTGTCTACACGGCCCCAGCCCCACCTCCCCACTCTGTGCCTCTGCTGGAGCCTCCTGCCAGCACTTGCTGGCGCTGCTGCTGCTTGGCTGCCCCATCCCAGCTGCCTCCACAGAGGTGGCCGGGGGCTCCCCTCCATCCTGGGAAGGGGACCGGGAAGGGGGACTGTGTCTCACCGCTGCCCTCTGCTCCCCTCCCAGATGACGTGCTGACCAAGGATGCCGGCGAGTGCGTGATCTGCCTGGAGGAGCTGCTGCAGGGGGACACGATAGCCAGGCTGCCCTGCCTCTGCATTTACCACAAAAGGTACCGCTGTGTGCGAGGGGACATGGCCAGGCGGGTGGCAGGGGGACAGGCAGGGACATCCCAAGGCTCGGCGGCACGCTGGTGACACACTCTCCTCTCTCCAGCTGTATAGACTCATGGTTTGAAGTGAACAGATCTTGCCCGGAGCATCCTTCCGATTGACCCACCGGGCGTGCTTGCTGACTTCTAAGGTGAGCCTGCGGCTGGCATTCGGGTATGATTGACCCATGCTGGGTTTGAGTCCCAGGGCGGGATGGGGTGGCCGTGGCTCCTGCTCCTCACCTGGGGTGCTCTCTCACTGCCTTTGCAGGGCACCTTGCTATACCTGCTGTACCTCCTCTCCCTGTCCCCCCGCCCCGCCTGGAGTTTTGGGCCGACTTTAAATTCCTCGAGAAGACAAAAATAAAACCCAGAAACTTGAATCCACTTGGGACAACGGCGAATTTTTTTTTTTTTTTTTTTAGTTTATTATTATTTTTATTTGTTTTGTTGTTTGGGGGGGGTTGTTTTTGTTTTTAATTTAAAAGATTTAAACAAGAAAAAGAAACATCCAGGAGAAGACAGTGTGAGAAAAGCGGAGCGACCCGCTCTCCCCTCCACAGCTGCTGGTCACCAGGAGAGCTCTGCCTGCCAGGGAGGCCCCGGGGACGCCCTCGGCCGAACCCCTGCCATGATGTTTGGCTTTTCTCCCCAAAACGACGGGGAAAGCTGCCGGGGGACAGCCGGCCAAACGGAGCACGTGGCATTTCTCACCGGCAACCCCCCCACCTCCCACCCGGACTCGCCCGGGGGCTCTGCTCGGTTTTTTTGCACTGACTAAACGGGAATTTTCTCCTCTCTCCCGTCTCCCTTTTGGAGATCTCCACCCTGGCCCCGGCAGCCTGAGACGGGGACTCTGCCCCACGCCGGGAGCGGGGCCACTGCTCCCCCCTGCCGAGCCGCAGGGGACCGTCTTTCA